GGAGCAGCCGGGCCTGGGCCTGGGCCTGGGCCTGGGCCTGGAGGACGAGGCCGAGGAGCTGGACGACTGGGAAGATGATTACGACTACCCAGAGGAGGAGCCGCTGAGCGGGGCCGGCTACCGCGTCTCGGCCGCCCTGGAGGAGGCCAACAAGATGTTCCTGAGAACATCCCGGGCGCGGGAGGCCGCCCTGGACGGCGGGTTCCAGATGCACTACGAGAAGACGCCCTTCGATCAGCTCGCCTTCATCGAGGAGCTCTTCTCGCTGATGGTCGTCAACCGCCTGACCGAAGAACTCGGTTGCGACGAGATGATTGACAGAGAGTAAATCCCGGATGCTGAGACCAGAGGAGGACCCGACCGGAGGAGAGCCCAACATTCCGCTGTCTTTGGGGTTTAGTCCACACATCGTTCTGTGCCAATGAAAACACTCGATCTCCAAACAGAAAAGTTGGTTTTTGTTTTTCAGAGTAGAAGGCAAGGACAGTGACTGAACAGTTGTGAAAAAGGAAAAGAATCCGGAAAGAAAAAGATCTTAGGACTGTTGACCAGTCTGCTTTCCAAGAACAGCCTGGAACACCCATGGCTTTGGTTTTGTTATCGACGTAGATTGTTTTCCTTGCGTTGGAGAAGATCTCTTTTATATTTGTTTTGCTGTAAAGATGGTTTTGCAAGAATAAATCATGACCATTACATGAGCCCACTGATCCAAATTATGTAATGAGGCAAAAAAGTATGTCCATGAGATTTCTTTATTTGGTAGAAAGCCTGTTGAGAAAAGTTTTCAAATTCTATTTTGTGATCTGTCCAAGTCATACTAATCAAAGACTAAATTTGCAGGGTAAAGTGAATTGATTATTCTTCATAATCCCAAAAGGATGAGCAAACTAAATGCATCCCATGTACTGTATCTTAAAATGTGTTTCCAAGAGCATCTGAAATCCTGTTTATACATGTATCTTGGTCATTTATAAAACTGTGATCTGTACTTCAGGAAAATCCATTGTCATAGCTATGGAATTTTAGAAGTCACAAACTAAGATGTCTTTTTAGAAAGTTTCAAATGTAGACATGAAAATGTATGAGGAAGTACAAAGAAGACAAGTTATTTCTAACACCCTGATATTCTAAGGAAATTATGTTTTGCTTGCTGTTTTTCATTTAACGACATATGAAAGACTTTAGCTGAACTTCGTATTGTAAGAACTGTTAGTGAAAATTGTCAGTAGGAAAGCCCTATATCTCAAAAAGCTATGAAAAAATTATGTTGACTGTTGAAGATTTTAAACCTGTCCAGAAACCCACCTCACTATCTGATGTTTTCCTCTGTCTCCTCCTCTAATTAAGATTGTTATTCTTTATGCACCAGCATTGAAGATAATAAAAATTTCTTGTTCTGTGTATGTTGTTTGATTAATAGTAACTCATACATACTTGGTATACTATTTTTTATTGGTATACTTTATAGCACCCACTTTATGATTTAAACAATATAAGAGAAATGACCCACCATCAAAACCCAATTTATAAGTTAATTTCTGGAAGTTAAACTTAGTCAATTAAATATTGTAAGAATTGACCAACCCAGGAAAACATGCCCTGTCAGTGAGCTTGTGTTTTATTTTAGGATCCTGAAATTCTATGCGAGTTGTAGTTCCATCAGGCTATGCCAAACAAAAGATCAGCAGGTCTTTCGGGGTCACTGAAATGGTTCTAGATGGTTCCTACTCCTCAGTGACAGCAAAGAACAGATCTGTAAAGCAGCACAGTGCACAGCCTTACTTATTTTGCAGTCATCCTGGTGGGGGGGGCGGGAATCCTATAAAATATAAGACTGACAAGGGTAATGAAAAACAGGTTGGGGGGAGGAAGAGCTAGAGGAAACAAAGTAAAATGTTGGTGTTGGTGCTGAATCCTGCTGTCTTCATACTTCAGTTCTTCCATTGCTTTTTCATATCTGGTAGCTAAAGTCACTGAAGGTACTGTACAGGCATAGTTGTGTGCACCTTAAGTTAGTGCTGAGGGTGGGGGCATTGAGTGGCAGTGTACAATTAACTGGCCAGTTGCATTTACCTCCAAGGCAGCAGGGAAAAACAGAAAAAGTCCTTAAGGTCTAGGAACTGAGATGCTGTGACTGTTTCTAGGACCAGCTAAGAAACAGGAGGTGAGGGAGGCACCTGTTGCATCTTGGGAAGAAAGATGGCTCTGCAGCTACTGTACCTCTGGTGGATGTTTCTAGAAATTAAAACAGGCAGTCAACTAAGAGACCACTAAAATTAATATGTATTCACTGAAGATAGAAAATGGTAACATTTTAAAACTTGAATTTTCTTTTTAATGTTAAAGTTACCACAGAATGGAACCATCTAATTCAAATTATCCATTGGAGCAGTAAACTACTTAATTTCTCTGGCTTGGATCCTAAAATGAAAATAGGGATAACTGGGTGTACCTTACAAATTGTGAGGATGAAGTACAGGTTGTGTGTGTGTGTTAATACCAAAGAAAGAGGTTCTAGGGAAATTCTGATACTGACTACAAGGGAAGGGGATGCAGGACGGGGCTAGGAGCTTTGCAGAAGTTCGGGTGTACAGAGTGTAACTGGAAATCTATCTTCCAGCATTTCTGGTTCTATCCCTACGTATTGTTTCCTCACATCAGCTGCCCTTGGGCCACAGGTCTGTTTTATTTGGCTCGTGCTAATAATTTTAATTTCTTAAATAAGACCGATATTTCAATACAGACATAGAGGCTAAGAATCCAGGTTTTTAACACACACACACACAAATTTTTTTTTTTTTTTTTTTTTTAA